AAAAAAAAAAAAAAAAAGAAATCCTTGAAAGTACACACAAACTTTCCTGTAGACACTAGAGAATAGCACTTCAAATAAAATTTCCCTCCAGGAGCATGAAAAAAACAATGTGTCTCCAAGTTACTTTTTTTTTAATCTCTTCATTTGTAGTTTCCTTACCACCTACAGATCTGGGATTCAGTTCACATGCCGAAAGCAGTCTGCCAGGTCTTGTGACTCACAGACATATGAGCTTCTGCTGGAGCACAGGCAGATGGTTACAGACCTGATCTGTTTGCCTACTTTGTTCCGGGATTTCAAATATACCACCCCACTAGTTGTTGGAAAATGATGCCACTTGCATCTTTTAAACAAATGCTTGTAGATTCAAGGTAACTTTGAAAAAGGAAAGGGAACAAATCTTCAAATCAAAAAGCTACTTGACAGCAGCATGAAAGTGGAGGGTTTGCTTTCAGGGGTGGTCCGAGTCAGCGTTCTCACTCTCTCTATGGTCAGAATCGTTTCAAGGGCTCCTACAATGCACAGGTGCCAGGCCCCATCTCTGAAAGTTCTCAGTCACTGACCCAACAATTTCATTTCTGGAAGGGCAGCAGAAGATATTTTACAACTTTATAGACTGTTGTAATTTGTCCACATTTATAAATTTTCCTTTTAAATTAATTTGAAAAGCATTTGCCCTCACTTTGGTCTTTCCTCGTTCCACTATACTTGGCTAGTGGTTATAGTTTTTCTATGTACTCAAAATACTTACCCAACAAAACGCCCATGTGTAGTTTTTAATGTATTTAACTGGTATTATAAACACTTATGATAGATTAAAAATTCAGAAAATTGATTTGAAAGCCTGGCTCTGCCAGCACATGAACTTGGACAAGTTCTATAACCTCTCTAAGCCTCAGATTCATCAATTGTGAAATGGAGGCTTCAATAATGTACTTCTTGAGACTCTGGAAATATGATTCATGTGGTTTATAAAGTTGGGTGTTTAAAAATGTTTTTCAGCCATCATCCACTCTAACCCCCTTCCCAGCCCAACAATAGGTCATTTACAGCCTGTTGAATTCATCTATTCATATCACCTTTTCATGTAAATATATAGTTCTTTCATTTACAGATGTAGATAATTTCTGAACAGAGTATACCAGTCTGAACCCTAAGGCAAATAGGACTCATACAGGCTTCTTTCCAGTTTGCAAATGTTCTTTGATCCTCCTTTGTTAGCTTTTCCTCATCACCTGCCACTTCTATACCCATCTTTATTCACTGGTGTTTATTTATATGTAACCACAGCTTTCCAAGCTTCACAAAACTCAAATGATGTTTCAATAAATGGTGTGTTTTTAGATAAGAGACAGATGGATTTGGGGTACTCATGAGCCTTTGTTGTTGTTAATCATGCCATTTCATGCCTGCCAGGTACATAAACAGTCCAAGGACTGAACTGAAACAAGGAAACAGGTTGTAATAACCTAATATGTGGAGTGTGTTTGGAACTTTATAATTTTCCCATATATTCTGCTTGAAAATTATTTAGCATTCTCCTGCCAGCTCTGGAGAGGGTCTTTGTGGGGTAACCAGCAGCATCAGCATCATTTAGAGATCTGTTAGAAATCCAGAATCTCTCATAATTGCCAGGTCATGGAAGAAGCCCAAGAGCCCATCGATCCACGAATGGATCAACAAACTGTGGTACATGTACACCATGGAATACTATGCAGCCACAAGGAAAGATGGAGACTTTATGTCTTTCATGTTTACATGGATGGAGCTGGAAAATGTTCTTCTTAGCAAAGTATCTCAAGAATGGAAGAAAAAGTATCCAATGTACTCAGCCCTATTATG